ACCGTGGACGTTTTTCAAACAATGCGGCTTCACTAATTTCTGACCTCCCTCTGGGAGGCCCCCCATGCCAACAACCTCTCCAAATTGTCAAACCACACCACTCGAATTTTCTTCATCCCCTTGTCAATTAAGTCGCCGCTGGACCTATCCAGCGTATCTCGTGAGCTCTCGAGATGACACTTTGCCAAGTCGCCAAAGTCTGCAGCTGGAACAAAAGGGTCGGCAGCAAAACATGGAATGGATTACATGATAATTTTTACATGACCCATGGCGATGCATTGACCCCGGTGTAGACGACCGGCGGCTCCGCGTCCAGATCCACATACCCCACGGCCGCTTTCTTGGTCATTTTCGATTCGTTGGAGAGGTGGCGCCTATCGATGTCCCCCGCCCCGCAATGGATGTGGCATCTCCTTGCGCACTTGTGGAACCGTCCGATCGTTGCGAGCTTGCGTCTGATGGCGCTGGCGCGGTTGGGCGAGCGCTCGCGATGGAAGAGCTCGCTTGCGGACGCGGAGAGCTCAGTGCCGTGGGCCGCGGGGGTCGAGGAAGCCAGTGTCCGAAGCCGATGCGGTCGCGCCAAACTGACCATTCGCGCCAAACCTGGGCGTAGCGTTGCCAAATGCCGATAGCCAAGGCTGCAATGTGCTCGGAGTCAAACGCCCGGTACATGTATCGGAGTTGCGCCGGGACGGGGGTTTCCGACCACTCGTAGGTCAGCTCCTGCCACTTTGACGTGAACGGTTCGACCGCTGCTCGCGACCCCGCGTCTGCGAGAATGTTGTCGCAACCGGCGATATGGCGGGCTGTGATGTGTAGACGGTGCACGGCTTGGGCCACTGCGACGTGCATGTAGATGTTGGCGCTGAGGATTGTTGCTGCTGGACAGCGACGACGACCAAGCGAGGGCTGTGGTGTTGTCGGTGAGGACTTCGACGTGTACGGTGGTGGCGCCAGACGGGTCGCGGAAGTCGGCGCCCCAGATACACACAGCGAGGTCGATCGCCAAAATGCTCGCGGACGGCTGATCGAGAAAACCGCCACCAGCTGTTGATCCATGATTGGCTGGGCCAGACGCCGCTGACTTGCGATTGGCTGTGGTGATGGAGACCTGCTCGACTGCGTCGAATCGAAATGCATGTAGCGGCAGCGGCACCGATCGACGATACTAGTAGCGACGCCCGAGTCGCTAGCGTTCATCGCGATGGAAGAAAATTGTGGCAGCGATGAGCCGTCGAAGACGGATGTAGGGACACGCTTGAAATGCGCCACCGATAGGATCGTGGCCAAGACGTCGAGGTTGGCGAGTGCTGCAGCGTGGAGGACGCGGGTGCCGTGGCGTGGAAGCACCCGCTAGAAGGCGTGCAAAACTTGGAAGAAGCCCGCGCCGGTGGCGCGCATAGGCAGACGTGACGAGGAGAACCAAGAGGCGCTCCATGACGAGACGCGACGCGCGGCCCGCGCTACGAACGCCGCTCATTCGGGCGGCGGCGCGGGATGTTATCCGCTGGCGTTGAAACTGTGCCAAGGACAAGATCCCACAGCAGACCGAGCGCACGGAAATGGCGTGCCCGAGGTTGAAACTTCTTTTCGTGGCTCGCGATTGGGACCGAGAGTGGCCAACATGGCTAGACGCAGGGCAAGCTCCGCGCTTTCGAGCCGGAGCGGGTCGGCCGCCTCAATGCTGATGAATCGTCGAAGTAGATTGAAGCACCAAAAGGAGAAGCGTATCCGATGACAGTGCAGGGTTGATGCTGTGCGGTAGCTCGCGGCAGACGAGCCAACATATGGCATGACCTCAATGGCATGACCCATGCCGCAATACTAGTACATGATTGGCAGACCCGAACCAGCCAAATGCGGCGGAGAGGTCGATGCCGATGAGGTTGCGGTCGTGGAGGGATAGACCGAACATGCTACTGTCTGTGGCGTGGCTGCGCAATTGGCGGTACGCGCCCGAGACGTAGCCCGACATGCCCATGAATTGGTGTGCCCGGTGGCAGCATCGTCTTAAGCGCTGTGATGCGCGCTGCGACGTCCGTGATGCGTGGCTGCAAAACCGATGGTAGGTCTGACACGACGGTATGTGAGTTGACGGATGCACCAAGTGGGAAGGACAAGTCATGAATTACTCGCCCGTCGATGTCGAGCGGTTGGTTGTTTTTTCCGACAAGACCAAGCGGGCTGTAAAAGATGCTGTCTGACCACAAGGCCTGAAACCGACGCGTCAAGAAAGACGTACTGACCAGCCGCTTGGTCCTCCGCAAGGCGATGGTGCAGAGTTGCTGGGAAGCTGCGCGCGGAACTGTGGATGGGAGGAGCGCCCTCTGAATCGCGTGGGCGGTTCGGCGGCCCACGGGCAGCGGACGCCCTCTTGTGCGATCTGGGCGATGAATATCGCGGTCTGGGTGGTCGTGGTAGAGCGACCCGAGTTGCGCCGGGAAGAAGGGCTTGTTCGGCCGGTAGACCCCGGCGGTCTGCCCCCGGACGAGCTCGATCGGCGCTGGCGGCGAGAGCTTGGCCGCCACTGTAAGCCGCGAGAGGGCTGAAATCCAAGCACCGTCGACGTTGCCGGTGCCAGACGGCGGGGTGCTGGGGGCGCTGATGCCGTGCCGGCGCATAACCAATTGTCAGGCGCAGCTGGCTTGCGTGGTGCGCCAGACGGGGCCCGCCGTCAGGCTTTGCGTGTACTGGCCTGACGAGACCAGCGGATACGATGCCGAGCTGGCGTGGCGCCGAGGAGCTGCCCGTAGCGAGGCCTTGAGTGAGCTGAAAGCGCGGTGACGCGAGTGCCGATGGATCGGGTGCGGCAATGCCGTCGGACCCAGCCGAATGCAGGTGCAAGCCTATCGCAAGATGAGAGACGTGGCACGGCCGTGCACACGCCGCGCTTTCCCGGCCGGTCAAGCTCGTGGGTAGGCGCTGGTGCGCCAACCCCGCTGAAACATTGTAGTGGTGAAACTGCAAGGGTCGCCGGCTGCCCTGCGGCCGGAACCGCAGGAGAACCGACTTGGCGCGCCGCCGGCCGGGGACACGCCTCGGGAGTCGCTTGCTCGCGAAACTCCGATGAAAATTGCGTTGCGGAAATCGCTTGCTCGCGAAAATCCGCTGAAAATTGCGTTTCGATGACCACTTGCTCGCGGAGCTCCGTTGAAAATTGCATCTCGGGAGTCGCTTGCTCGTGATACACCGATGAGTTGCGTGGGGGCAGAGATTGCGTGCCGCCCGAGAAGCTGCGACGACGAGCTGGGAGCTTGAACGCCCCCGGCGCGCCGCCGAGCGGATGCTTGTGCGCGATTCGGCCAAGGTGGGACATGCGCGTACCCACCCTGGCGTCTTCAAAAGGCCGGGACCGCGCGCATGCCGCCCCACTTCGCACTGAATGAAACTGCTTGACCACGTCGGGGAGCGAAGACGGGATCGCGTGGTTGCGCCAGCCATGGCCGTTGGTTTCGTTGGAGCCGCAGACGGGCTTGCCCTCGCTGAGCTGATATGTGCACGGGACCAGCGACAGGTTCCGGATGCGGATGTGTTTGCCTTGATGCATGAAGAATGGCAGCGATGATGTGTTGGGGCACAGCGGCCTTTTTGGGCACAATACCGTCGCCACGCATGACGCCATTGTCGCGGCCGCCCGACGGTGGCTTCTTCCCGGGCCATAGCGGGAGCCGCTGGCGGGGCGGCCTGCGAAGGTCCTGTAAAGGTTGAGGGCGAGTGCCATGGAGCGCGCGTTGCCGGCCGCGCCTGCGTGTAGCAGCTGGCTCACTTAGGCGAACTGAGCGTTGAACCATTTGACGACGACCGATCTGTGCGCGTCGCTGAAGATACGCTGCTGCCTGAGGTGGCCGATGAAGACGAGCGCGTGTCCCGCGAACGATTGAATCGTCGAGGAGCCGAACGCGATGATGTAGCCAAGCAGGGCCCAGAGCGCGTCCCAGAGCGACGTCGAATGTCGGCGACGGTACCGCGTCTTCTGCCGTCGACGCGAGGAATAGGTTGATTGCGTACGGGCACGCCCCTGGCGTTGCGCGCGGCGGAGGCAGCTGCGGGAGGACGTCGCTGCGCCGCGACAGCGCCGGTGGGGCGACCTCCACGAGAGGGGGCGCCATACCATCGCCGCCAACGTCAGAAGGGTCCCAACAATACGCGTCGCCAATGTGCCCGAGGTCGGGTGCGCTGAAGCCACCGTCTGTGTGAAACGTGTAATCCACGATATGTTGCACGCTCGGATGCAGCGTGCGTCCGGACCACGGACCAAAACCAGCGGCGCCGGGTCTCGCGAAGCTGCGCGGAATCTTCGAGACCGAGGCCCGCAGTGATGAAGGCGACGTCGCGCGACGGAGCCGTGGTGGAGGCCGCATTCGGAAGGATGCGTTAGATAATGTCGGCATGCGCCGCCAAGACGACTGCACGAGACCTGCCCGTCACGCCCTGCGGGGCGGATCCCGTGTCGGAAGCCCACTGAGTGTCCCAGAGCAGAGCCGCGACTACTGGCAGAACCGGATGCACGGCGTCGGCAGCCACGACGATGGAGCTGTCACGGGTAGCCACCGTGACCGTGAGTGACGGGAAACCGCAATCAGTGACCTGACCGTGGAACCAGCGACTCTCGAGCGCGCCGAAGACGCAACGACGGAGTAGGCGTCCGATGCCGAACACCGCCTCGGCTGCTGGGACCACCAGGAGGACGCTATCTGCAGCGGGAGCGGAGAACGTCCGGGGGTGAAGGACCGCGCCGTCGGGGGCGAGCTTGACCACCGCCTGGCCGCGCAAGACACTGATAACGGAGCCGTACACCACGCTAGAAATGTCGTTGTAGAACGGGGTGATCTGCTCGGGGTAGATGCCGAGCGAGTTGCCGGGCGATAGCATGGTGCAGACACGAGAAGGAAGGATAATTAGCTAAATTGCTACGAGCTGCCAAATTGATGAATGGCTTGAGCGAGAGCGCTCTGCGCCTTGACTTGCTTTGTTGCTTGGACTGCTCTTCTTCCATTCTTCTATTCTTGTGTTGATCGCGACTGCTCGTCCCGCCGCGCGGAAAACCTCTTTCTCTTCTCGAAAATGGCCCTACCAGCGTCGGGATCTGCGACGTTGGCGGCGTATACGTCATTCGTTGGCCCCGCGATTACGGAAGCCAATCGCGACTACGTCATCCAATCAGCGGCGTGACGAAGCACATGGTGCCGCTCCATGCCTCTGCGCCCCAATCCATCGATGGACGCGTGGCACGTCGTGGCGACAGAAGAGACGACCTCGCATCTGGGCATGCAAAATGCCAAGTTGGATCTTGCGTTTTAATGTATGGACGACGCTTTTATATTTTGTTAAAGACAGAAAAGGCGCGGCAGAGTAGGTCACGCGTCCCACGGCCGCGGCGATGCAACAACGCCCCGTGCAACGAAGAGGCGACACCCTTCCGATACTCTGAGAAACACTTGGACGGGCGGTACTACGCCTGTGAGAAGACTGCCGTTGATGTCGGCAGCGGCGCACGACAGAGACCA